GCTAAAATTTTGCAAACCGATTCTTGACACTTCCTACCCGGTTTTCGTATAGTTTTTATTAAAAAAAAATTAATAACAACAGCCATAAATAAGCTCGAAGTTTTTCAAAAATACGATAGCTTTTCACTTTAGTTCATTGGGATCCACTAGGTGGCGTAGAAGTTAAATCAAAGCTACCTGCAACAGAAGTATAAGTAAGTCTAGTTATAATATCCCCGAGAATATAGCCGAATACCAATATATTCGATATGGTTTTATTACTATTGTTTTTCCATAATAAAGCTGAACAACAAGCTGATCGATTCCACAGAGAAACAAAAATTCGATAATCTGTATTTAAACAAATAAACTTGATGTGAAATAGTGGTGTACACAGGCGTCTAAAGTGTAAGAAACATACATCACACTAGAGTAAATTACGTGATATGTAAATTCACTCCGTAAAACAATTGACATAATAAAGAGTATTTTTAAAATTCAAAAAAATTCCGAATACCAATATATAATTCTCCGGTAATGCATCAAAAATTAAATTGCAAGTCGTGTAGCTGGGTACTCTGGTTACCAACGATACCCTTCTCCAATGGACAAGCAACTTATATCGAATTCTATCCCGAAACAGTCAGATTAACGAGTGCCATCGTGCCAAAAGGTGTTCTGAACGTCAACATCTCCGACGTAATACCAGGAGATGTCTAGCCAGAGCTCAATCTGCTCTAACCATTTAGGGTTTCGTGGCCGTTCTTCGTTCTTTCAACCGACCTGGCGCTACCAAAGCAGGTTTTTCTAAATAGAAAGCCAGGTAAAACCCTGAGGAGTTAGGGCAGCCACATCAGCTACAAATTTTATCAAGCTCCTTCTCAGTGGTTCATCCCAACAGCACACACACGGAGATATATTCTCTAGGTCCACTTTCCCAACCAACGATGAGCTGTTATTTATTCAGGGACCGACCCGAAGAGGAGATATTCTTTGGTCAGGGGCACACCGCCCTCCAGCACGGTCTTACGCAGAATCTCCGAGGGTAAGAGTCAAGCTACCCATAGCCGGCTCTCCTTCATCGAGAATAATAATCAGGAATGACTGGAAGTATCGCCACTGGCCCATTTCAGGGCCATGATAAGTATTTACGTTCCCTAATTAACCATCAATCTCATCGGTTCTTTTTAGGATCATCTAGCGTTAAACTACCTTGTCAACAAATACATTTTTACTACCATTTCCGGAAGCGATTCGTCGGCTATAAAACTATATAAAGCCGGCCTCTATTACACCAAGTCAGTCAATCACTGGCAGACGTCATGAGCAGAGTTTTTCGCCGCGAAGATGGACATCCCGACTACCAGCAATCCTGCATTACCGTCTCGACTTTAAGCATTCAACTAGGAATCACCGATCCTCTCCGAGGTCTGTGCTGGGCAAACCTAACAATGAAGCTACAAAGGAGAAATAAACTTTAGCAAACGGAACAGTCTCCAACAGGCAAGCGTTACGAACCAATCTCCCCACCTTAGATCACTAACGTCTCCAGTGTAACACCAGGAGACGTTGGAAAAGAGCTCTACAACTAGCTCCAACGCTTTAGAAGTTGTAGTTTTCCTCCCGATCAGTCTGGTGCTACAATAGCAGGCCAGAGAAAATCACCCTGAATCTTTTCCACTTCAAAGTTGGTACATTTTTATCTTACTCAAATGATATTGTGTAATATATTTAACTTATACGTTATAAGGTGTAATATGTTAAATTTAACCTATACATTATAAGGTGGTGTAAAAAAAAACTTTTTTCAAGGCACAGTCACGGGCCAAAGTTTGTCGCGTTCCCCGTATCTACACCCTCTGAAATATCAAAAAATCGTAAACTTGAAAAAAATTGAATGTTTTATTGATGTTATTTTGAATTTTATGGTCTGACAAAGAACCCTTGCAAGGTGTCTAATTCCTGTTTTTATGAAACTGTAATATGTTGTAAAACTATGAAAATAAGCAATATGTATCTTTTTTTATCGGCAGAGAAGTGTTTTTAAAGTGGGAAACCATATTTCAAAAATCACCCCTAAAAGTAAACTTTCCTCAATAGCTTTAAAAAAAATTGAATAATTATATGATTTAAACTCCAAATTGTTTTTTATAAAACGACAGTTCTATTAAGAATATTTGGATCCTAAAGAAACCCACGTAACAGTTGCAAGCATTAATTTTTTTAAGTAACATTTTTGATGTTTTTTACAAATTTTCGAATACCAAATTGCATTTGTGAGTACACGAGCAGTTTTTGTTAAAATTTCCAAAACTCTTCAACTATATTTTTTTTTGCTGTACAAAAAAAGTGTATTTTAATTTAATTCAGGTGATTTAAAAAGAAAAATAATTTCATGATGTTCTAAATTTGTTTGAAAATTCCGCATAAAAATTATTTTTAAATTAATGACTTCTTTTCACCAANACGAATCATGTATAGCAACACAGCAAAGTAAATATGCGGGGGAGGGGGCTAGTGTTGGGAGGGGTGTTTAATTGAACGAAGTGACCACGCGCTGATCAAACCGACAATCTCTCGTTCGAGGTCGGCAAGTCAAGCCGCTCCCGAGAGCGCAAGAAGGTACAGGAGCCATTCGATTGAAGTAAGCGTGTTTTTATTTTTTTTTATTTTTAAATTTAATGAAAAGTAGGAGATAGATTCTCATGCGGTTTGTGCCGTTGTAGCGAATCGTCAGTTGTAACCTTGTGCACCCTAAAAGGCTTTGTTACGAGATTCGCGGCAGGCTCGGCAGCTGAAGTTCTAATCTGGGTGGAACCCTATCGGGTGTTTCATCGTGGGAGCCACCTAGAAGATCGATAAATTCAAATAAAGAGCGACAACGAGACCCTGCTGGATCTCCCGACAGCCGAGACCAAAGAGGTATTTACCTGTCCATATCTGGTGGCGGCCGAAGGTGCAAATAGCACGGATACCAAGGGCGACAGTAATAAAAACAAAAACAAAAAAGAAAAGAAATAGAGAAATATATAAAAAATAAAAAGGGGAAAAGAAAACGGTTTATAGATTTAAATTGACACGAAAGCACACGCTCTCAAGCGAGCATAAAGTAGATCGACGTTTGGCACGCTTCGCTGTTCGGCAAAGGGTGCATCCCGCGAAAGCGTTGCCGGCGGTATTGATGTTTATAGGATTTTGGGCCCCGCGTATTATTATTAAGTTAGGTGGTAAGATAGTTTTTTTTGTTATTTTATTTCGAGTTCGTGGCACTTCCGCGAATCTGTAGGGCTTGATTAAGCCCGTTCTTTCATTCAAAAATTATTGTTTTGTTTAATGAGTCTCTGTACATTGCCGAGAGCGGCTGGCGCCCGAAAACTCAGTACCAAATTTTAGGTGACTAACGCGATTTTAAACTATATATAGCCCACGAGATTCAAGTCTTTCCTAAAATTGTAAAAGATATCAAATGAAGTAATAATTAAATATTTGTGACAACGTTTCATTCATTGCCGTTGCAATTGTTATTTAACCATCCCAAAGGATCCCAATTCCAACTCAGTTAATACATAAATAATTTTTACAATAACAAACACAACAATTATAATAGTGATAATAACGAAAATGATTTCAATAATTACAGTAATAATAATAATAATAACAATAATAATATTAATAATACATACTTAAGCTTGGTAGTTGTTATGAATCTCACTATTTTTTAAGAAAAGAATTAGAAAAAAAAAGAATTTCCAACACTCAAATTGACTTGAGTATTCTAATCATTTTTAAAATTAGTTTTCAGTTGAACTAAATTTACTTGTAATGACTGCTATTCAAACGAGTTGGTATTTTTTTCGTAATCGATCCCGGCATCACTTTTTCTTTTATTTACTTGCTCGCTTGATGACGATGGTTGTTTAAATGTAAGAATTGTATTTTTTTATGAATAACTTTTTGGTAATTTTGGAGATTCGCATAATTTTTGGTAAATTTTAGGATAATTTACAGCAAACATTACTTGGTGATAGTAATGTGGAAAAAATTTACTACATTTTTAAAGAGTCAATAAAAATTAACGACTTACGCAACAAGTATACTTGTAATTAACGTTTACTTACCTTTCCAACGCACGAAAAAAAAAATTAATTAAGTAACTCAACTAAGTTTTGTTGAGCATTGTACTTGCACATCTGAAGTTAGTGGTTGACCTAATCCAAAAAGTTGGTTGCTGCAACCGATTTTTATTAGTTCAAGTATAAAAATAGTCGGAGCAACTATTCAACTATTTTTTACAGCTAACGAACGTATACTTTCGTGTTTCAGGCATTTTTAAGGGTCGGGTGTGCCCTTGGTATAAAATACAGTGTTTGGCACACAAGTGCCATTCATCCGGGGCTACCTTACAATTCCTTGGACCTGCTTCGCAAGATCCTAGGGCCGAAAAATAGCCCTGGAAACGATGGCACTTTTATGACGAAAAATATCATTTTATTGCTGGTAAATTAATGATACAATGATATTCAATACGAACGTGGTTTCATTTAGTATAATAATTATCAACGTTACTTGTGAATGCTATTTTTCAAATTTGTCAAAGAAATTTATTTAGAAGTGTCAGAAGATGCATATTAACAAAAAAAGAATTTTATTAAAAAATTCAGTGTTAAAAAAATACATAAACGAGTGAAAATATTCTAAAATATTCTCTGCCCAAAATAATACAAAATATGTATTATATTCTCTAGAAAACTGTGAAGTTTAAAGTAATTTTATTTTTATGGCAATGATTATGTACAAATATACCAGCTGACAAAAAACCAATATGTTGTTAATTTATGAAACTAAAACAACATATTTATTTACACTTTTGTTGAATATTTGTGTTTGTATTGACTATAAATTGCATAAATTTACGAAAAAAAGTGGACACATGAACTTCGTTATCTTCTTTTTGTATATTCTTAGTCGAAAACGATTGTCCTCGAATTCCACCACGCATTTCTTCTTAGCGCTATCATTTACTAATACGCTCTAGTAATTTTGTTCAAGCACTTGTGGCCGTACTTTGTGCTAACATTTTGGTCAAACTGATGCAGGTAGGCAACGTAAACGCAATATCCTGTATCCGTCTCCAAATGGTTGATCCTAAATTTGTTAGTATCAACCATTGAACTATCAGTTTCTTGTGCGGTTAGCTCGCCGTATGCGACAAGTCGTGTATATTTATCGACCACTTTGATTTTGAACTGTTATTCTACGTACAGTCGATATAAGTTGTAGTACACGATGACAACGCCACCGTGACGCAGAGGGAACACCTTGAGCATAAAGTACTGATCATGATCCTCTTCCAGAATGAATCTGCTGTCCATTATTTTTTGACCTTTGGTATCGTATTGAAAACAATGCACCCTAGTGTCATCGTACGAAGCGATGTTGCTGCAAAACGAAAAGTACCCGTGTTCGCTCGATTCCGCCATCGAGTGTCGCCTGTATATGTACTCGGTAAAGTGGTTTCTCAGCACCTTCGTCTCAAGACCCTCGTGGCTCACGTAGCTGACATTCATCAGAATGCCTACTTTATTCCCTTCGCGAATAAGCTTAATGTTGATGAAAAATCCACCACTACTCGAATTGAATTTATCCACGACCATAGCTGTCTTGAAGTACTTTGAGGGAAAAGCGATGGGCTGGCTTATTTGCTTACCTATACGTAGAAATTGTCAAAAACATCAGTGGAAAATGAGAATAATTTTGCCCATGATACTTCCAGAGACATTTATTTACCTTCATGGTTGTATCGGATGGTACACGGGTTGTGTTGCTCACCACATATTTTCTTGCTGTCAATCGAGACGTGATAGCTATCGTTGTACACGAGGACATTAAAGTTAGGGTTCCTTATTTGTCCCAGTTCATCGAGTGGCGAAACGTCCACAGGAAAATCTGAAGTGACGCTATCACATTTGTCCATATCGAGTATGCTGACCAACTTGTGCTGCTCCTTGCCCCTAAAGATCCAATGCAACACGAGTTTGTTTTCCATGAGCATGTTTGTGTATTTCAAAGAGAACCAGATAGGGTTCTCTCTGTTAGGTACTCCGATTTTTACGTCACAATGCTTTTTGTGGTCGTTCTCCATCATCAGCTCGATCCTGCAGCTCAATTCGTCCTGATCGTAGATCCTATAGCAGGTCTTACGCGTAATGCTTTGGTCAAAACGTTGGTTCTTCCAGGCAGATTTTATGTGTGAATTGCCATTATCATCAGCTTGTAGCTTGACCGTTTGAGCAGTAACGCTTAGCAGATGTACAGCTGCATAGACTATCGTGAAATACGGCATTTTTCCTTGAAATAAATTTTCTTTGATAATTTAATAATTTTTGTTTTCAGAAAAAATCCTGAATCAGTGTCAAAATTAGCAACTGATGTGGATATTAACTGGTTTTGAAAATATTATCTAGATAAGCTGTATTTTTTTCTGCTCAGTAGTAGATAAGTGTTACCAACATTAAAATACGCGAAAAGTGACTTAGCTGAGGGGAATACTTTCCATGCGTATAATGTAATGTGCTCTCAGAGAAAATAACTACAGTAACTTTTACCGTGAAATTACGGTTATTTTGGGACGTTGTGTGAATACAGGAATTTTAAATGAAAAATGACAGTAGAAACTGTTAGACTATCATATGTGACGTACCGTCCTAACTTGACCGTAAATTGTCGATAAAAATTACTGATTGTTTTTTTTCTTCATGTACAATTGAAATAAAAAATTTATTACGAAATAATTATTCGAAAGAATTTCTTACCTTACACCAATCACTTGATAGTTGTCAACTATTTTGAAAAATACTGAGCCGCTTTTATATCATCTTCTGTATTATCATTCAAGGCAGATGTGAGAAGGTGTGGCGAGACCACGTGATCTGCATCCAGCAATTGTTGGAATATGATTGGCTCACAAAAATTCTCTCCACATGACCATTTCTCAGTCAGTCTATATGACAATCGTGTAGACGTTTAGCAGGTCAAAAACTTGTTTGGTTTTAAAAATACAATCATTAGCTTAACTATCAATGTGGTTGCTATTTTCAGGCGACGCTTCTAAGGTCAATAATTTATAAGTAGCTTATTCTCCTGAGATTGTATAAAAATAAATAATCTGTAAACTTCTAGTCCACGCTAATATTTTAAGTATTGTTTAAGAAATTTATATAAGTTATATACAATTTTTGTACAACTGGTGTGCAGTTGTAACGAATCATGTATAGCAACACAGCAAAGTAAATATGCGGGGGAGGGGGCTAGTGTTGGGAGGGGTGTTTAATTGAACGAAGTGACCACGCGCTGATCAAACCGACAATCTCTCGTTCGAGGTCGGCAAGTCAAGCCGCTCCCGAGAGCGCAAGAAGGTACAGGAGCCATTCGATTGAAGTAAGCGTGTTTTTATTTTTTTTTATTTTTAAATTTAATGAAAAGTAGGAGATAGATTCTCATGCGGTTTGTGCCGTTGTAGCGAATCGTCAGTTGTAACCTTGTGCACCCTAAAAGGCTTTGTTACGAGATTCGCGGCAGGCTCGGCAGCTGAAGTTCTAATCTGGGTGGAACCCTATCGGGTGTTTCATCGTGGGAGCCACCTAGAAGATCGATAAATTCAAATAAAGAGCGACAACGAGACCCTGCTGGATCTCCCGACAGCCGAGACCAAAGAGGTATTTACCTGTCCATATCTGGTGGCGGCCGAAGGTGCAAATAGCACGGATACCAAGGGCGACAGTAATAAAAACAAAAACAAAAAAGAAAAGAAATAGAGAAATATATAAAAAATAAAAAGGGGAAAAGAAAACGGTTTATAGATTTAAATTGACACGAAAGCACACGCTCTCAAGCGAGCATAAAGTAGATCGACGTTTGGCACGCTTCGCTGTTCGGCAAAGGGTGCATCCCGCGAAAGCGTTGCCGGCGGTATTGATGTTTATAGGATTTTGGGCCCCGCGTATTATTATTAAGTTAGGTGGTAAGATAGTTTTTTTTGTTATTTTATTTCGAGTTCGTGGCACTTCCGCGAATCTGTAGGGCTTGATTAAGCCCGTTCTTTCATTCAAAAATTATTGTTTTGTTTAATGAGTCTCTGTACATTGCCGAGAGCGGCTGGCGCCCGAAAACTCAGTACCAAATTTTAGGTGACTAACGCGATTTTAAACTATATATAGCCCACGAGATTCAAGTCTTTCCTAAAATTGTAAAAGATATCAAATGAAGTAATAATTAAATATTTGTGACAACGTTTCATTCATTGCCGTTGCAATTGTTATTTAACCATCCCAAAGGATCCCAATTCCAACTCAGTTAATACATAAATAATTTTTACAATAACAAACACAACAATTATAATAGTGATAATAACGAAAATGATTTCAATAATTACAGTAATAATAATAATAATAACAATAATAATAGTGATAATACAGACTAGAATTTTTAAGACTAAAAAAGTTTCACATTTGTCCCGAACGCTCTCACAATGGCTTATTAATGTGGTCATTCAAGCTAATCATCAAAAATATTTCATTTTTGTAATCGATAAGCGTTACTTAAAAACGATATATCAATATCAAAGTACGATAGAAATTGCTATATCATTTTAAACGCAATTTTTTTTTTAAACTTTTAAAAAATAAAATAAAAGACGAGCTAAGGATATTAATCCTAAAATCCAAAAAAAAAACAGCGAATGACTGCTTGGATTGTTCTTTGAAACGACAATAACAATGTATTAAGAATAAATTAGTCACCTGACCAGATTCTTGTCATACATAACTTATATAAATTTCCTCAGCAATACTAAACACATCAACATAGACTGTAAAAATTTATTTATTAGTAATTTTTTTACAGTTCTCAGGAGAACACACTACTTAAAAATTATGAATTTCAAAAGCGTCACCTCAAAATTTCAACCCTTTTGTTAAGTTAGCCAATAATCTAGTGTATATCGACGCCTTGGACGAAAACCAGCCCAATTCAGATTTTTCCATTCAAAATAACATTGAAAAATCTGAACTGGGCTGGTTTTCGCACGAGGCGTCGATATGATCCTTTAACTTCGACCTTTGATATAAAACCTATTGAGATCTTATTTAATATTTTATTACCAAATCCCAACTTTTATCCCGTTGAAAATAATGCAGCTCTACAGTACGACGCTCTCTACAGATACTCTACTCTAAGATACCAATATCGATGGTTTACCACCCCTCATGGCAGGCAGCTGGCAACCGCTCTTAGAGTTTATGTCGATGCTAAAAATAACAAAAAAGTCACAAAAATTTTTACGGTGCTAATCGCATCAAAAATATCTCGTAAAATATTATTTGTCACATGGTTAAAATCTTTTCATTTGTTACGTTATTTGTTGAGTCTAATCACGTGTTTCGGTTAGGATGGGACTGGATGAATTGGTGTCTAATATTGAAACAATAAAAAATTGTTGTGCATAATATTTTGATCACAATTGTCTGTGAACAAAAAATAATAACTGTGCAAAATATCTTGTGTACAAAATACTTTGTTGTTAACAATTATTGACATGTGAACAATTTTATGTATAATAATTAAATAAGGTAGGCGATTGTAGTTTATACGTTGTAATAACTTAGTTTTATAAGTTCCAGCGATAAAAATATCAAATTAATTAATAGATTGGCTGTATTCTGAATATTGCGCCATCGCCATGGCGAAAAGGCTAAAATAAATGGTGGTTGAAAATTAAAAAAAACATAATCTAATGGCATTTATTAACAGTAGACGTGTTTCACGTCGATAAATCGATATTATTTATTTAAATTAATAATTTTCCTAAAAAACCTTTGCCACTGTTTCTTTGAGATGATTTTTATAGTGCAAAAGAATACTGTGATAAACTGCTGAAAATAATTTTTCACCTTTGCAGCGTGTCAATACTAGCCCACGTGTTTAGAATTATATTATTCAGAGAATGATGTAATTTGTAGAGATGATAATTGAGAATTATGTGGTATTATATACCGCGAAACAGTTTCAGATTAATTAATGGTAATTCAAAGTATGTTTAGACTACTATAGTAGCTGTTAAATAAACAGACAAGTAACGGATTAGAAATGGTCTCTCGCTCACGCAACTAGAGTGAGAAATTATTTTTTGTCCATAGAATTGCAGCAAATCCTTTTTTTAAAAGCTGAATGTATCGCTATTGATTTTGGCCAAAGTTCAAATAATGGCACCGCTCAAAACCACTCAAAAGCATACTTTTTGTTCAGACTTATTTTATACTTTTACCGGCATTTTTACTACGATATGTTGTATTTGTGATAAAATATTGTCATCTAATTTATTTAAACTGTAAATGCTGTAAGGTTATACCCATCCTTTAAATTACTGATGTATCCAAGCTCTTTTAGTACTGTATTGATTTATCGTGAATTGACTACGAAGTTGTATTCAGTTAATGTATATTGGGAACTGAAATTAGCCATTAAAGTACATTAATCATTTAATACCTGTATTTTCATTTTTCTAAGTAACAATACACAAAGTCGTACAGAACACTTTTTCTAATTTCACAAAAAAACTAGCAATTTGAAATTACTTTATACTTAGGTATAACGTAACTAAATAAAAAGGACTTACATTGACTAACTGTAACAAACTGATTCACGACTTCGTCTTGAGAGTTTTTTTATTATAAAATTTACTTTATACTATTTTTTTCAAGAAATATTAATCACTGTGCGTAGTGGATATAATTACTACTTGAAAATTAATCAAAAGTATCAAGACATTCATTTTTTTTTCAAAATTTAATATTGTTTTAGGTCAAAACAATCGTGATCACATTACTGCTTATCATTATGTTACTAAACTCAAACTTGACTGTCCTTTAATTGAAAATTAAGTTTTTCAAAGCAAACCATACTGATTCTATCGATTAGTTGAAAAAATCATACGATAAAGCACTAAACAACGGACGAATATAGTCCAAGGTAAAATAATATTTTTATGCACACCATACACATAACATCAGAATAAAAGCTCGCCCTGCTACTCCGGTTTCACAATGTCACATATTCATGAAAGTGTATTCATATGTGGGTGTATTCAAATGGACGCTCTTTGAATTATTAATGTCTGAGCCATTCCGTATGTATTCATGATTGAAAATGATGCTAAATTAAAACTCATCATCAATATTACGAATTTATAAATATAAAGAAATCGAGCAGAGAAGTTTCGCGCCGAGACTGTAACGTAACCTACTGCACAACTGTGACCCAGAATCGCTGGAATGTGCTGTTCTGGCAAAAAG